CTCGAACTCGCGAAATTTTGATCAGAGCCTAACGCCCTAACCATTGAGCCGCAGGCTAGTTGAATAGCCGGTTTAGTCGGGAGATATTGGCACTCATTGATGGACGTTCATCGACCGCTAACGGAGCTCGCTTCTCCCGCTCTGCCTCTGCCTTGGGCCTCGTTTCCCGGGTCCTGATAGCAGCTGGTCAAAAGGTCGCGAGTTCGAGGTCCTGATCGTACACCGCTTGGGTTTGGGTATGACTGGCCGACGGCGGTCAATAAACCGGAAATTGTCATTTCAGTCTCCGTTGTCTTTGTCGGCAACATTATTTGTTTATTTCCATCAATTTTTATGAGGGAAATTTGTGTTGCAAGACAAGAGTTTCACATGACGAGCTCGGTGCCTGAACGAATTAAACTTAGGTAACCGAGGCTCCACTGTATATTCAACAGTGTTTTGACAGATTTGACTAACTCATTTGACCAACTTGTGAAAAACACAGTGGGATTTGAACCCACGACGGCAAGCAACTTGGCTTGCCTGTAGTCAAACCTAAATTCACAATTTAGTCCAATGAAGCCTAATAAAGTAGTACCTCGATTAAAGAGTTTCATCCGTTCCAGCACCGAGCTCGTCCCGTGAAACACTCGTCTTGCGGAACGCAGCCAACTAAAACCGCATCAGCTCACTGGGTAACTGCAGGCAACCGAGGACCCAAGCCCTGAGAGCAACACTCAGTGCCGGCACCGGCAGCCGTAACAGCTGGTACTATAGACAGATAGTATTGCCGGCAAGTGCAAGGGAGAATTGAATGGCCATTTTTGACTTATTAGCCGTCGTCAGCCAGTCATACCCAGACGCAAGTGGTGCCCTACTCGAGCCTCGAACTCGCGACCACTTTGATCAGAGTCAAACGCCCTAACCATTGAACCACGAACTCGTTGTCAAGCCGGTTTAGGTCAGGAGCTATTGACACGCGTTGATGAACGTTCATCTAACCGCTAACGGGACTCATCTGTCCCGCTCTGCCTTGCGTCTCGCCAGGGGCCCTGACAGCCGTAACAGCTGGCTAATAAGCCAGAAATGGCCATTCCAGTCTGCCTTGTCTTTGCAAGCAATACTATCGGCATCAATGTGTATTATTCATTCAACTACCCCCTGTGGAGCGGGATACAACGAGGCATCTGGACAAAGAGCGCATCGCAGTGGGTTAAGTTAATAGGCGAAACCCTTCACGCTGCGATCTTCAGGCCCGGTGGGATGAATGGTGCATTCTGTGCTGGGGGAGTGGAGAATAGATCACCGGACAGAAACGCCTTCAAACGCTGCCATTCTAGTGTGTTCTTAAGCGCAATGTTTGCTTACAAGGAAAGGAACGGGTCAACTGACCTGGGGACCGCAATGATTAACAAGATGCAGGCTCCCATCATCTAATGCGATGTGCAAAAAACACAAGACAATGGTCGCATATAATATTTATCACAATGTACAAGCGATTCAACGTTGACGAGCCTTTTTCGAGGGGGGAGGAGATGGCGAGGGGGCGACTTCAACGTCTGAATCATCATCATCATCTGCTGCTGCTGATTCCAGCGCGTCCTCCTGCTCTGACTGCAATCGCAAAGACACGAATCTTCGGTTTAGATATATGGCTACCACCACCACCACTACTACTATTATTATTATTGTTATTATTATTATTACTAGTATTGTTACCAAGACTACTACTACTACCACTACTACTATTACTACTGCTAATAAGATTGTCAT